GATATGCATCCTCTCCCCGGCACTGCCGCTGGCGTACGCTGGAAGCGCTACGCTACGCTGCTACGCTACGCTACGCTGCCGCAAAGTATAAACGCAGCCTAAGGCTTCAACCCACAAGCCCTTCTTTATTCCAGCTCTTCTTAATTGCTATCAATCGACGAGTTCTATAGTCTCAAGAGATCCCGATGCCTAAGACATCTGCAATCAGGGAAAGCAACGCTTCATTATTTAGTCGTTTGCACGACAGAGGTTCAAAAAGTGAGCGCAGATCGCGAGATGTCTACACGTTTCCCTTCGGCAGCGTTCAGACTTCGCGACGGCAGCGCTTCGGTCGCGCGATTCGACGATCGATGCGCATGCTTTCGACTGCATCGATCGCGTCGAACGCGCCCGAAGCGCTGCCGTCGCGAAGTCTGAACGCTGCCTTACTGCACATTAGGCCGTATGGTGAGCAAATAACATTGTAATTCGGCTATCCCGGAAGGAAGGCAAAAAACGCAGGTCCACCAACCTTTCTCGTTGACTTTCTATAAATTTGTGTGCCATTAGAGCCTTTTCTTCTTGACGTACTTGAACGAATGTATGGAGTTTCGGGGGATGCTTATGAGCTGCTCGAGAGAGATCAATCCGGCCAAATTTCAAATCAGAGTCGCTAGGAAATTGAGCAGAGTGTTGTAAATGCCGCCAGTACACGTCTTCCTCAAATTCTGCTGAAAATGAATGAAGTTCTTCTTGTAAAGGTTTTGAGTGAAAGGTGAGATAGGTTACAAACGAGCGGATTCCGTTTGTACCAAGTCCACGATCGCGAACGAAATTACAAGATTGCGATCGAGAATGTAACTCAGTTCGATATCGTCATCATCTAAACCAAACGGCCGCATCAGATCCTGTCCGACCTAGAACACATATTTATTGGAAGGGAGAACACTTTATGACCGTAGACACCCGGATGCGAGCCAGAAGGTATGCGCGGCCTATCTAGCCAGTAGGCTTGGTCTGCTTTAGCCCTTGCGACGTCAATCGGAACTACTAGTTCGCCGCGCCGCGCTGCATCTCGAGCCCTCAGGTCTGCACCTCGGGTACTCTGAGATCGAGCTATCCCTAGACACTTGAGTAAGTGATTCAAAAAGCGAGTCTCACCTTGTACCACCCAACATAGAAGAGGAATTGGACGACCGTGAAGAATGGGAACACCGTATCAAAGCTGTTCTCAGGATCGAGATGTTGCCGTCCAAAGAGGCAGAACACAAAAAACGAGTAGGTGGCTAGAGAGGCTACCTGCAAATATAAAGTTCAAATTACGATGTATTCGAAGAGCCCTCCATTCATTGTCATGATCGCTGATCAAGCTGCCCCTCTAATACCACCTGAATACCACCTTTGATAGCAGTGATGTTGACAGTTTAGGAATGTCCTTCAACTTCGCGTTGTTATTTCGTTGTGCGAAATTTTTTGATGAGTTCTTGTCTTGTCTTCCGGAAAAGCAATTTTCAAGCATTTTGTTATGTTCTGGATTTCGGTGAACGACCAACTTTTGAGGTCAAAGGTGTTATTTGAAATTTCTATGCGATCTATTTCCATGCGACAAGACAATCAAATCGTACCTATCGTAATCGTACGTTCCCTACCAGTTTTGTCGCTTATCCGCTTCATTAATTGGTGAAGAACGGGTCAGCGGCGCGCCAGCCTCGCGGGCACGCCTCATCAACCGCAGCGAATACGACTGTACATATGGTACGTATTCAAGCAAGGAAAATGGCCACGAAATGTCATTGCATTCTGCCAGCAGCGACGTCCCATCCTTTGCACAGCTTTATCGATGATTTCTGTGCTTCCCTGGCAGAAATGATAATCATGATGACGATGACACAGACTTGAGCTGTGAATCACGAAAAACTGCAGGAAATCATAAAGTGGAATTTCCACCAGACCCCTGGACAGAGCTAGCTTTGCGGCAACACGACACTGAAAAACATTGCAGTCGATCGTACACGATTAGCAAGGCAAATTTGTGTGAAAATGGTTTCGCGTGGGCTGAGTAGTGAACAAAGCATGTCCCCATAAGTGGCAAAAGTGGAGCGTTTGGGATTACGTTACAGGGTATCCAGGGCATGCCATCGTTGTGGTAATCACAATGGGTTGGGAGGGGGTGTAGTATTCGATTGCGAGGGAGAGGGAGTCGTACGTGCAGGGCCCTTCTGAAATGGGAAGAGCAGCAATACTCAGATTTTCTACTGCTTGAATGATGAAAGATTCATTCATTGTTCTTCATGTGAAGAAGACCTGGAGAGACACCTGAAGACAGAAGCAACCTGAAAGCTCAGAAGTGGGAACGAGCGGTGACAAAGTAAGACGGCCGCCCACAATGACGTCATGAAGTAATCTACTTTATATGACCAGTTTGGCTGACGCGCACTACTGCGCGCATGGGTTAGTATAAGTCCTGAAATGACAGGATTTCTGTGTGACCCCTAAAACACTTGGCCTAATTCCCATGTTTCAAAATTCGGCCCATTTCATCATATTTCCATATTTCTCCTCTTTAATGAGCAATTGCCAATGTGCTTATCAGATTTCTAAAACACAGATCATTCGTTGGCAATAGAACGGCTTAGCGGTTGAAAGGTAACAATATCGAAATCATAGTGAAATGTGCTTACATCATAATACTTCCGTTGAGCAGCTTTCACATATCCGTCTGTTGGTGGCTCTTATCATTCCCCACTGGCGAACAACTTTAAGCTTTTACTTTTTGTCGAGAGTTTAGCGGTCGAATCAATTCCGACTATAACACTAAAGGATAGAAACACTGAGCCTTTGCCCATTGATTCCATGGGCCACGGTGGTCAACATCAGTCGCAAGCGGAGTAAAGCTGCGAACAGATACTGACCCTTGTCGTACACTATATCACAACTTATCTCCCACCACCAATGTTCCCTAACCACCTCTGAATTGCTTACTGGAAGAAGTTCCCCAGTGTGCTACAACTCGTGCATTGAATTTTGTGGCTTCCTCTCTGAAGTGGCCCCTATGGTATCTTATCAGCTGTTATCACTTCCTGCCACCCACCAATAATGTTCCCATCCTGCCCCCTATCTTACTTCTTGGAACCGACGTCCCGTTGTTGCTGGGGTCGACGTTGTGAATTAGGTACCCCTACCCTCCTAAAGCTCCTCGTATTATCTTATCAGCTTTTTTCACTGCCTGCCACCCACCAATAATGTTCCATCCTGCCCCCTTGGATCCAACGTTCGGTCGTTGCTCTGACCGGTGTTATGAATTAGGTAACCCTACCTTTAAGGCTCCTCATGGTATCTTATCAGCTGTTATCACTTCCTGCCACCCACCAATAATGTTCCCATCCTGCCCCCTATCTTACTTCTTGGAACCAACGTCTCGTCGTTGCTGTAGCCCGCGCTATGAATTTGGTGACCCTCCCCTTCTAAGACCCCTGTGGTATCTTATCAGCTCTTATCAGTTCCTGCCACCTACCAATAGTGTTCCTGCCCGACCCCCTACATCACTTATCAGTTTGAGCGCTCTATCACTCTTTTGAAGGAAGTTATGAATTTCCGGTCAAACACATACAGACACACACACACATACCCTCGTCATCCGGGCAGTTGATTAGGGCGGTCGTCAACGGGCCGCAGCGCGTGCCAGGAACTG